CAGTAGATGTCAGTAGCACTCTGCCTCCAGTTTTGACAACTAAAAATCCTCCACACATTTTCAAAAGCCCCCAGCCAATTAGCTCACAGAGTGTCTTATGTTATAAAAACAACAGTCCAGATTCTCTAGAAGTAACTAACACAGAATGGAGAAGCCTCAAGAAGTGACCTCTAAGCTACAACTTGAAGGGATGGCTGGAAATTAACCAAATAAAGGGTTAGGAAGATGACTATCTCTGGTAAAAGGAACATCATCACAAAAAAGGGTAAGCCTATTCAGGAAGGTGAAGGAAACTCTGGAGTCGGGTGCCATTTTGCAAGGAGGTGAGCAGTCATAAGATAAACTGAAAAGATATAGAGGGGGACATTTAGGCAGAATCCTGGAGACTCTAATAAAGAATCTGTGCCTCATCCTGAAGAGTTTTAAGCAGGGAGAAGACATTACCATATTTGTGGTTTTGAAAGATGAGTTTGTCTGCCCTGAAGAGAGTGGACATCAGAGGAGTAATTCTGGAGGCAGGAAAGCTAGGTAGCATGCTGAAATAATTCACATAAAGTATGACAGCAGTTTAAAGGAGGCTAGGTGCACATGGCTAGAGAGACATGGATTGAGTCAAGAAGAGGAAGTTATTCTGATTTGGTGAAATGTTGAAATAAAAGAAAAGAAAACATTGAGGGCTGGGATGTAGCTCGGTGGTACAGCATTTGCCTAGCATGCGCGAGGCACTGGTTCGATCCCAGCACAAAAAAAAAAAAAAAAAAAGAAATCATTGAGAATTATTGAGTACAAGTTATTCACCAAAATAGAAATTAAGTAGAGGATACCATTTCCTAAAATGGATAATCAGGTAGAAGAACTGGATTAAGAGGAAATTTCTAAAATTGCACCTTTGAGGCACACTAATTCACAACTATTAACTCAAATCTACATTGATTTTTAAGAAGGCTGGGAAATCCAAATAGATGTCATGTAGGAAGGTAGTTGCAACACAGTCTTAAGCCTGAGTGATTGGATACAAAGACATCTGAAAAATATCAACATTTAGCATTTAACTGATGAATAAGAAGCTCCAAAGAACCATCGTCTTCATTAAGCATCTTACATATTGAACTATTCATACAATTTCAGCCAATGTTCAATCTCAAATTTCACAATTCATAAACTAAATAGAAGCACTGTGACAATCAATTGTTTTCTTTTTTAATATTACTAGGATATTTTAATCCATATACTACAAATTGCTATTCTCTTACCTTTTACCTTTTCTCTTGGTATTCCTCCATCACTTGTTTTGGATTCATTTCCTCTAACTCCCATTTGACTTCTTTTTAAGCATTTCTCTCAACCTAAAGATAATTAATCTCTTTTGATCAATGTATGCTAACCCAACAACATTGTTTTCTTTATTTGGGCTATTGAGTTTCTGCCAGGGTTCGTTTAACCTGTATCAGCTTTACCATAAACCAAGCTTAGAAGAAATGAACTCGGATTATTGGAGCCAAGTACCTGGTTAATTGTGCCTAGTAAGAGCCACGTATCATCTTAAACTAATCAAGGCTGAAACAATATCAATGCAACTTCATGAGGCTATCTGGTTGGAAATGGAATTACCAGGGTTTATGGATTTGTTACAATAAGCATGTGGTACATACTAGAAATCTATTTTACTATACCAACAATTTAAACTGGAAGGATGTGACCTCTTAACCTCCTAATCTAATAATCTAGGGCTCAATATTGTTTTTTGCAATTCTTACTAGGTAATAAAAATGAAGAATAATTACTAGGATAATTTAAGTCACTGTAAAAGAAAGCTAACATACAAAATAAAGGGTAAGATTTTGCACGGCTGAGTAAATTGTGCACTGCAACTAATGGGAAGTAAATCCTATCTTAGATATAAAAAATTTCTACATTCATTATAACAATCTTCCATCAGAAGGAAATAAATTGTGTTGCTCTGAAATCACATTTATTGGATAACTTTTTAACAGAAAAGTATTATTAATCAAAAGGTGCCATACAGGCTGGTGGCTATAGTTAGTAACCCACTCTAAGAGAGATTTTATATGTCAAGAAACTTACTGATTATATCAAGTGTTTTGGTGGTTTTAAATGACTATCAAATTTTTGATAGTAAGTCTTATTATTTCAGGCAAGCCATTTAGCTTCCTGAGCCACATTTTCTCTTCTGTAAAATGAGGATTGGCCAAATAATCACTGTGATCCTTTTACCTCTACAATCACTTTAAGTTCCTCCTTATGAAACAGATACATGTCCTGTCTGAGCAGCATGGATCTTTGAGACATCTATCAGAGGTATTCAAAGTTTAAAAGAGTATCAAAGTTAAAATTTTCATTAGCTTTAACATAAGCTTCAGGCAAACATTTTATTATAAAAGAAGGAAGAGCACCAATGTTTTGAGCATCTACTAGGTTGATAGGCATTTTTCTTACATTATTTCATTAGCCTGTGAGTTACTATTACCCACGTTTTATGGAGAAGGAAACAGCGACTGTGTTACAGAACCAATAATAATACTCTGTCAAGTGTGACCGTGTGTCTCACATATATGGAACAAGGAAAACTGAACAAACAGATGCTTTATTGATATTATCTGGGAGAGGCCAAAAGATGCAGAAGGATTTGTACATTTCTAAGAAAGTTTAGACCAGGGGTTATACTTTTGATCTACAAAGCTTAAAATGTTTACTGTCTGGTCCTTTATAGAAAAAAGTTGCTGACTCCTTTGTACAGCTATATGCTTATAACACATTCGTGCAGATAGCATACACTGCCACGTTTGTTACTGAAATGTCTGCAGGAGAAGTTTTTATTGAGAGCCAGTAGAGTGCCTGACTACATTTAGCTTTATCCAAGCTTACTGATAGTTCCTTTTTCTATTACCACCTACACTGACATTAGTTCAGCTCATCAATTATTCAAATATTACTTTTTTTGACAACAGAGACCAGACCTTTACTTTGATCCTTTCCAAATGGATATGCTTTCTTGTCGTATACCCCACGTATAGTACCTTCTTATCTCAAAGCAGAATTAGTTTCATATACAAGGATATGAGCACAGCTTGTAAAGGTCAAACAAGTGATTATATTTTTAAAGGCAAGAGTATTTCCCACAAGGTGCAAACAAGCTTTATTTGAAATTTAATCTTTTATAACAATTTGAAATGTAATTCACATACTGTACAGTTTATATTAAAAGTGTATAATTCAGTGGTTTTTAGTATATTCAGCCTTGTACCACCATTACCATAATCAACTCTGCAACTTTTTCATTGCATCAAACAAACGCCATATTCATTAGCAGTCTCCCCACTTTCCTCCCATCCCATCAACACCAAGTAATCACTAATAATCTTTCTCTACATTTAAATTTTCTTGCCCTGGACATTTCATATAAATGAAATTATACAATAAGTGGCCTTTTGTGTCCACTTACTTGCCCTTAGCATGTTTTCAGTAAGTCATTTCCTTTTATACCTAGTAGATAACATTCCATTGTATAAATATACATTTTTTCTACTCATTTACTAATTGATGGGCATGTACAGAGCTTAAATCTGGGACGATTATGAAGAATGCTCCCATCAACATTTGTGTACTTTTTGTGTGTGGATGTGTGTTTTCATTGCTCCTAGTTATCCATCAGCAATGTTTGAGAGTACCAATGTCTCTGTGTCCTCCTATCTTTCTTGTAGAACTATAAACACAAATGTTTTGTCCATTTTAAAATAGTGGTTTTTTTATTATTGAGTTATAACAGTTCTTTATACATGCCAGATACAAATCTTCACTTATATATGATTTACAAAAATTTTCTCTTATTTTTTGGGTTGTTTTCTTATTTTGTTTTGTTTTCCTTTGCTTGGTGATGTCCTTGGAAATGCAGAAGTACTTAGTTTTCATTATGTCCAATTTATCTATTTTCACTTTTGTTGTTTTATGGGGGTGTTACTTATTCAAGAAATCACTGTCTAATCCAAGTTCATGAATAATTTTGTCTGTGGTTTCTTCTAAGATTTCTGTAGTCATTAAGTCCAGTTTAGTTAATTTTTATATGTAGTATGAGGTAGGAATCCCACTCCATTATTTGTATGTGTATATTCATGTTTCCAGTCTCTGATGAAAAAGATTATTTCCATCACTGAATCGTCTTAGCAAACCAAAAATCAATTCACCATAAATGTGAGCATCACTTCTGAACTTTCAATTCTATTACTATTTTATCATTTCTGAGACTGTTGAAAATTATTTTTGGTACTCTATTGAAATACAATTTCTGCATGTTACTCTTACATCTGTAATTTTGCCAAGTGCATTTGTTAATTCTAATGTTTCAATTTAAGTATGCCTCTGTATTTTCTTTAGGTTTCTATGTCTCAGATCATATTATGTCCAAATAGTTTCACTTCTTCCTTTCTAATTTAGATGTCTAATTGTCCTGGTTCAACCCCTCCAGTACAGGTTTAATCATAGTGGCAAGAGCCACTTGTCTTCTTTCTGATGTTAGGGGGAAATCACTGTCTTTTGTTGTTAAATATAATACAAGCTGTGGTGTTTTTACAGATGTCCTTCATCACACTGAGGAAGTTCACATCTATTCTCCTAGTTTGTTGAGTGTTTTTATGTTTTCATGAAAGGGTGTTGGATTTTGTTTAATACTTTTTCTGTGACTAATGAAAGAATCATGTTCATTGTGATTTAGAATAATCAATTCCTTTTTCCAAACACTGAAGATAAAATTAGAAAAAAATTAGAATTTTTTTCTAAATTTTAAGAGAGATTTAGAAAATGTCATTTTAATAATTTACTAAATAAATCAGAACTTTACCAAAAAAAAGCACAAAATAGTACTTTTCAAATGTTTGTAGGCAGTAATCTAAAAGTATCTAACAGGATTAATTTGAAAAATACAAAAATATAACTACATGAAGAATTTTTCTCACTAAAACAGCAAAACTACATTTGCTGGTTATAGTAAAATATGTTCTTGTAAGAAAAAGGAGGCACAATAAATTAACAAATAGTATGACCACTATGACTTTTACATACATATGAAAAAAATACATGGCAGGAACTAGTAACGTTCTCTAGTCGTGACTGGCATCTCTTATTCCACCCATTTTCATATTAAAAACAGATTTGTGTTCCAAAACCATTACTGTGTTGACTCAATCAAAATATATCATGGTTTACATTTTATAAAATAGCATATTAGCAAGTCCATTTGTCAAACAGATGTTGAGAGCTCCATTTCTTGTGATGATCAAAACAAAATGTAACTCCCAATTATAGTTTGATTGTACTCTGGGTAGTACATATAATGCCTTCTGCTTTAATCCGCTCTAATATTGGCCCATAGATTTCTTTTGAAAAAGGACCCATTAGGCCTTTTGCTGTAATTTCACCTGGAAAAAAAAACCATGTGATTACCATTTTAAAGGTGATATTAACAGTTAGTTTCCCTAGCAAGATATCACTCCAGAAGAAAACTAAGAGTCAAGGAATTATAGGTCCTGACATTGTTTAAATAACTGCTTAAATGTTCCCTACTAAAAGACTGTTTAGTCAACACTCTGTATGGAAAAGGGATTCATTTTGAATAGGAAGTACAGCTTGATTTAGGGACAGTGTCAGAATCTGTATACTTAGCTGTATTAATTCCTGCCAGAATGAATTGAAACCAATCTGATTATTTGGACACTTGTGAGGATGGTCAAAACAGTAAGTTTTATCTTTACAATGGTATAAAAGAATACTCATTCAATATAAATCATACTTAGAATTTTGATCTTTTCTCAGACTAGTGATACTAGTATATGATACTAGCATATCATATGATACTCTCTTGAGGTAATTGTTGCTGGGCAACAACAAGAAGCCGCAGCTCCCAGTAAGCCATGAGATCACCAGAGCAATAACTGCTACATTACAGTGTGCTGTGTTGCCAGGCTATGTTGTTCAGGTCAGCTGTATTCAATGCATTTCCAACTTAAGATATCTTAAACTTATAATAAGTTTATTGGTACATAATCTCGTTGTAAGCCAAGGAGCATGTGTCTTAAACATTTAATGAGTATAGATAATAGGCTAAGATATGAAGATAAATAAAACATGTCCATATTGTTGAGGATCTTTAACTGAATACTCTCTGTTATTTCAGAGCAACCATTCTTCGAATGGTTAAAAACAAGGAAAGAAAGGAAAGGAGTTAACTTTCCCTGTGGGTCCCTCTATGCAACAGTAGCATTTTCACTTTCACTTAAGTGCAAGAACAAGCCTATGAATTAGGGATGATATACTGACAGTACCCACTTTCAAGATGAGGAAACTCTGGCCAAAAGGTGCTGAGTAACTTGTACACATCCCTCAACCATTCTAAGACTGAGCTGGGTGGAAATCAGGTCTAACTCTTTACACACTATAGGTGACTCCCCTCTTCCAGGCAGTTATCTTCTTAAGAAGCCTCACTTTTAGTAAATGCCAGTGCTCGAGAGTAATTATTTGATGCCTAGACACTGAATGACTTGTAGGTGATATGGAGACAGACTCAGGTCTGAGATGAACAGAACTTACCATCAAGCAACATTTTAGCTGCCATCGCAGTGGGTAACCCCACAGTTTTAGCCATCGCTGAGAAGCCATTGAAGTCTCCATAAACTACGAGATCTACAGTTTTATTTTCCAAATGTCCAGAAGGATGTCTGATTCCAAAACTATCTCTCATCACAATCATATCTTTTTCTTCAGGACCTTAAAATAAATAAAAAACGTTTGTAAAAGCCACTATCATTATAGCTCATATATAATGCCCTTCTTCTCCAATAGTTTCCATTCTGGCTATATATAGCCATTAGAAAATTCTCTAACTGCTTTTCAGCCCAAAAACAAAGTGGAAAAACTCAAGTTAGTTAAAACTCTAATCATGTTCCTTTGTCTAGTTTAATATAATAGAGTCTGGCTTACGGTCCAGAGGGCACTGCTGTAGAGGTCACACATTTGTTCTCAAAAGTGCTCCTTTGACATTTCCCTTAAAAAACTAAAGGAAAACTAATTCTTTTTCTTTCCCATAGTATCCAAGTACATCCTTTCCTTGTTATTCTCATATTCTTCCCTCTGGAAAAATAGCCCAAGTGCCCTTTTCCTCATATCACACCTCCCCATTCCTAGTGTATGGCTCTCGCCCTCCAATATGACCTCCGGTTGCACTGACTCTCTTATGACCTTCAGATGTTTAACCAAGACCCATGGCTTACCATAGGAGAGTTTCAACACCAAATGCTTGGAGAGTGCATCCACAATGGACTCTGCCTGAGGGACTTGTTCATCCCCAAGTAAGCCCAACCTGAAAAGCACAAGAGGTGGTTCTATTAGTTCAAGACCTAGTCCTAATATTAGAAGCAGAAAAGAGCTTCTTGAATTTTATCTTGAAAAGGCAGAATCATAAAATGATTATCCTAGTTTAAGGACTCTGCTAAATTATACAATAGCAATAATGACAAAGTCTTAACCTTCAGAATCATCCCAGGACTCCCCCAGACACTGCTCCATGAAGCAGAGCAGAGATGACACGTTGTGACTCTGGTCCTTTTTAAGAAAATAGTAAGATTATCTGTCCCACAATAAACATACCTGCGTAATGCACAGCAGTCATGAATGTTTTAAATCTACAGGAAAGCAACAATATCTTACCTTGTGTGGGAACTAAAGGGAAAAATGCTTCAAAGTAAGTATTTTCTAAATTATTATTATTTTTTTTTGGCAGTACTGGGATTTGTGCTTGTTAGACAAGAGCTCTAGCTCTGCCATTTGAGCCATACTCTCAGCAGACCTTTTTTGCCTTAGTAATGTTTTATATAGGGTCTCCCTCTGCCTGAGGATGACCTGAAATTGTAATACTTCTACTTCCAACTCCCACATAGCTGGGATTACAGGTATGTACCATCAATCTGGCTTATTTTTTGAGATAGACCCACCCTGGCCTTGAGCCAACATTCTCTGATCTCTGCCTCCTGCATAGCTGAGATTACAGAAATACACCACCAGCTCAACCTAGTAATTTCCAAATTCTAATTGCCATTGAGAGTCTCTGTTTATGCACTTTTTATTTCCACAAAGGATAGTATATAGTAATCACTCTACAACAGGCCAACTAATCAGCACCAATTAGCTACTGAGTAGCTGATTAAAGACAGACATAAAATATTTGATTATATCTTGAACTTTCTTTGACTGCAAAAGACCAAATAATCCTTGATCCAATATGTTTGGCTATGAATTGAATGGTCAATGCTTACCACTCAGCAGCCTCCAGTTGGGTATTGTCCCCTCCCAGTTTTATAAGGACAGCTTCCTTAAGCATGTCACATGTGGAAGAACGTGAAATTCCAACTAAATCACAGAGAAGTTGTTTCTGTTTAGAAAAATAAAGATAAAAATTTTAAGTACCTAATATAATAAAACCATATGTTAGCCGAGAAATTATCTTGTTAAGAACTGATCCTCAAGCATATCTCAAAATTTTAAATTAGAAATAATTAAAAATAACAAATTGTAACCCAATACTCATCTACATACATACACATCCACAATGGATGGTATTCTCAGAATAAAATTTCAGCCATAAAAACTCAAAACTAAACGGTAGAAATACCAGCACTAATTTTAATTTATTTATTTATTTTGCCTTCATATCTCTGCTCCATCACTTTTTTCAACCACTCTCCACCACCTTTCACCAGTCAGTTTTGGTCAGGATAAAGTGGAAGAGGTTTACCAGCAGCAACCAGAACTTGCAGGTAAAAAAATCTCAAAGTAACACGTAAACAGTGGCTCAAGTGTTTACTACTTTCTAAACAAGACTTTTTTCCAGGATCTCAGAAGGGAAATTATGCTCTAGATCAAAAGTGAACAGGCCAAATGTGACCCATCATCAGTCTTTAAATAAACGTTTCATTGGCACACAGTCATGGTCATGTATCTATGTATTATCTATGGCAACACTGAGTCATTCTAAAAAGACTGTATGGGTCATAAAGTCTAAGATATTTATCCCATACTTTACAAAAAAAAGTTTGTTGCCTCCTGTTCTAGACTGTAACTATTAATATACTGGGACTTCTGTAAGAAGGTCTGTAACAACCTTCCCAGCCAGCTGCCTCAACCCCAGCTTCCACAGATATTTATTCCTGTCTAGCAACAAAATATGTGATAGGTAAAACTTAGATTATAAAGGATCACAGAATTACAAAAAATTTTAAATATTGGTCCTTTTCCCTCTGTGAGACATTTCTGGTGTTTCTGTTGAAATATGGGCATACTAGTTGAAGTTGGATAACCAGCTAGTAGTGAGTTCATTCCTGCAATTCAGTTGGAAGCCTCCAAAGTCTCTCCAACTCTGTGGATCCTGGGATTGGAAATAACAAAGATATGGCCATAAAGTAAGTAAGTGAAATTCAAATTAGTCATGGTTATGAATAACCAAAGGAGAGGATTCAGAGTTTGGGAGTGAGTCCCATACAAAGGTACGTCAGCATCCCAACTGATCCATCACATTCAGAAAGTCCAAGTGATTCCCGTCACCACTTATACAATTGGAAGTTTCCAGAGCCCCAAATAGAGCAGCTACAACTCTTCTTTCGGGTCAGGAAGTGATTCAATGGTACACGTTGGTGCAAGAAATAGACTGAATGTGCCTTATCCATCTGCTCCTAATGGTGAAGGGAAAGGGGACTTTTGGGTTAGATTTATCTTCTTACATCAGCTACAGAAAGGGTTCTTTTTTTTTCTCCTTTTATCATTTTTACATTTACTTTCACACATATACATTGTTTGTGCCACCTCCCCACCCCCCCACTTGCAGACAGAACCTATTCTGTCCTCTTCTCTGATTTTTTGAAGAGAAAACATAAGAGATAATAAGAAAGACATATCGTTTTTGCTAGTTTGGGATAAAGGTAGCTATACAGAGAGATTCCTGGCATTGTTTCCATGCACTTGTGTATTGCAACCCACATTGATTCATTTCTACCAGACTTCTTCACTACTTCCTGGTCCCCTTCCCATAGTGGCCTCTGCCAGTTTAAGATAACTTTATTCACTCCTCAACAGTGTGCACATCAGCCACATTCAAGTTTTAGGTTTCCTTTCCTTTCCCTATTTCTCCAGAAATAGGGTTCTTTTGCTAGTCCAAAAAAATTTTCACCTGACCATTTCAGAAGGCATTTGGAAAAGTAGCAGACAGCACATAATTCTGGAGTCACTCACCCAGGTGAGAGGGTTAGCCTCAGTCGAAGGGCAGAATATGTGTCTCTGTTTATAAGACCCAACTTTACAAATCCATTCAGAGCTTTAGAATATCCCTGAAATAAGAATTAATACACACTAGATGAAAACTTTCCCTTCAAAGAAAAACAAATTTTAAGCTATTTTTTTCAAAAAGAGGTATCTATCTTTATAACTAATTTAGGAAACAGACTGAAAAGTTATTTGTATTGTTGGTGGTACAACCACCACCAAGCTCAGAACAAGATTGATAATGTTGTAACAATAAAATATCTTGCAAAACCTGGTATTTATGTCTGTTTCTAGTTATCATGGGCAGGGTATTTTCTGGCAGAATAAAGGCAAGATTCCTCATGCATTACATACTGTAGTTTAGCAGAATATTAAATAGAACAGTTTTGCTCTTTCTTAATTTCATTTTTTGTGGTGCTGGGATCAAATCCAGGGCCACATAAATGCTAGATAAGCACTCTAGCAACTGATCTGCATCAGTTTTACTCTTATAATGAAAGGCAGAACTTACAATAATCTGCCCCCAAAAGAGATAATGCATCTACTGATTAAGAGCAACCACCCTAAAGCATATAGAGAGCAGGAAAAGTAGTTTGCTATGCTAGAAAGCTATTGCATAGGTTGTCTTAATTTGATCATACTTATAACTACTTTTGTGATGAATAAATATGTAGTGCGCATTTGTATTTGTGCTTCTAGAATGAATTCCCCATTTTGTGGTAAAAAATAATTCAGATTTGTTTTGGGGAAGCCCATCTTACCCTGTCACTTTCTTGAGCCCCAATCCATGTGTTTCCAGTGACACTAACTCCGCCGTACATTCTAGTATCATGTAACATAGGCCAAAGCTGAATATTGCATTTCATTACACTAACCACAGGGACAAATCCCAGTTAGTGAGGTAAAAATTGTATTTTTAACTACTGGAGAAGGATGTAGTTTGTTATTCCCAATGGACTTGAACTTAATAGGCCATATGAGGCTGAAGATGCTGCCACAAACATAGCACTGCATAGAACTCGAGACTACATTGACTACTGGGAAGGAAGGACTGAGAGGCAAAAAGAAATAGAGTCCTGGAGAGGTCATTTGACTCCCAGATCTCTACACCTGGTGCTGGCCTCCTGCCTTCCCCCAAACCCTAATGAGTGAAAAATGCCCTTTTGTTATTTTGAGTTGAATCTCCTAATATGGTCAATCAAAAGATCCCAGAGAATATAGACTCCAACTTGGTTGGTCATCTTAATATATTTTGATTACTTAAGAAAAATTAAGCATATACACCAAACTGGCATTACATCAAAACTGGCAATGACTTTAATCTAAAATATAGCTGCTTACCTTGTATCTCAATGTCCCCCGCAACAAAGTGTGGGCAGATGGAATACCATAAATGTCAGCATATCTGGTACTGTCTCGGTTAGGGTAGCCCTCCAGATTCAAGCCTGGGAAGTAATCCATGGAAGTAACTGCATCAAGAAAGGAGACACCCCCTGGCACATTCACAACCTGAAGGTATGGAAAAGGCACATGTGAGGCTCTAACAGTTGGTTCTTTTGGGCTTATCTGAATCAATTATGCACGTACACAACAGAGGTTTGAAAAAAATTTAGTGAAACCACCATAATCAGCATCCCACAGTCAAGCTGTTTCATTATTATCATAATTTATAAGGCTTTCTCCCAAGCTTTCAAATCTTATTTATTTCATTTAGATTTTCTGAACATAGGCCTTCTTTTCAATTTTTTCTTTCTGATAAAATGGCACTAGATTATGTTCCATTAGTTTGCTTTAAAAAAGGTAACCTAAAAGCAACAGACAGTCATTTAACTGGCTTCTATTCTCAAATAACAAGGGTAATCTTTGTTCTTTTCTTTTTTTTTTTTTCACTCCTACACCTCTTCTGAATGCCACATCAGGCACTAATTTTGCACAGTATATTTACAGAACTAGCATTTATGAGCACCTACTATTTATGTCATGGATCATACAAATTGTGGAGAGAATAAGGAAGGTGACAAATAAAGTGCAATTTCTTCTTCCATTCACTCCCTTGTTCACTGAACATTCACTGAATGTCTATCAAGTGCCAGGAACTATGGTTGCACAACTATAGAGCTCACAGCCTAGATTAGGACATAAAACTTGGGGTATATGCTGGGGATGTTGAAGGGGCACAGAGGGGAGAGCTCTCTTCACAACAAAGACTATGCCAAGAGCATAAATTGAAGCTCAAATAAGCAATGACCTCCTGATTTTTAGCACTGTTGAGAAGTTGAACCAGAGAGTGCCAAGCTCTTTTGATAACAGTACCTCTGTTACTCACACCTCTTTCCCTAACACACATTCAAAATGTAATGAAGCATATGGGTTTTTTGGGGGGAGAGGATCTTCAATTTTAACTAAAGGATTAAATTTTCTTTTAGTGTGTGAGGCTTGTGATTACCCTTAAGATAATAGAAAGTATTCTACAGTGACAAAATCACTAGTGACAGTGAGAATTCTGAGTGGGGCTGCTAATGTTACCTGATGTTGTCCTCCTTGCATTGCTGGAAACAATCTGGTGACCAATCTACAATTGCAAAAAACAACACTGCAGAAAGGAGCTGCCAGGGACCATAAGATTATAGGGATTTTCTCAAAGGAGTCAGTGGCTAAATGCAATGATTCCCATCGTTTATTTGGAGATGAGTTCATTACATGTCTTGGTATTAGAAAGAAAATGGAGACTCATTTATGTATGGCTGAAGCCTCAGAAGGAAAAGGGTTAATGAATGGAGTGTCGGGATGGGTGGAGTCTATTCATGTAAAAGATTCACATTGCAGAGCACCATCAATTTCCAACAGTGAGAATCTAAAGAATGTGAGGAATGCTTTCTGTCAATTTAATTTTCTTATAACCCCTTCTGAGCTGTACCATAAATATTTCCAGAGAAACCATTTCTGTATTGTTTCTTTAAAACAAAATTCTTCTAATAGGATTTTAGTTTTTTTTAATCCAGCAAAGAAGTCATATATTGACCTTTAGAGCCTCCATACCCATCTCACTTCTATAACCTATGGTAATTTTAAACTCTGCTTGCTTACTTGAGGCTCAGGAATGCTTTTAAAAGAAAAATTCAGTAAATACCAAGATGGTCCAGCACTTTACCAACTAGAAATAAATCAACTAGTTCATAAGTCTATCATGAAATTTTTGTGAAAAATAACAGGAAATTCAAACTGAATGGTAATGATTAACTTAGTAAGACTGATAGTTGGCTAAGCAATCTGATCCAAAAATTACAGGATAGGTAATCATTATGATTTGATATCAATTCCACATTATATTTCTAGTAGCATACCATGGTTTCAATAATAAGCCCTGTCTTGTTTAATATTTCACAGATGATGTGGGTGAAGACAGGAAGATATATTTACCTATCACACAGAGAATATGCATTTCTTTCTGCTCTGAGAGTGCTCACACCCCAGACCCATTCCAGCAGAAACACTGGCTCATTACTCACTACTTTTGCAGGCTAAGTTCAAATCTTTTCCACACACATGCCACCCAACCAATGAGAATTACGGTCATGTATTTTAGAATGAATATTCAAATGATCACAATAAGCTTAATCACTGAACTAAAGCAGATTTAACTCAGGAAACTCAGGACCCACTGTCTGCCAGGTATCAAATGTCCCTTACTTTTAATTCATGTAATAACACATTTTTCACAGTGGAAAATGTGAGAGAATCACCAGAGGCAGATTTGTGCCCAGGTCTTCCCAGACTCCAATGCCCATGTTCTTTCTACTATATCACATGGTCTCTTACTTGTGTTTATTTCAGGATCAGAGATAACAACACCAATGAAGCATCTGAGAATGGTGCTACTAATGGCTGTGGGCACTGGGAGAGAGGGCAGTGCAAACTTCTAATTTTCTAAAATGGAGGGGCTTGCTGCAGTGGCCAGGGTGATGGCAGGCAATGAAAAGAGGGCTAGAAAATTTATCCTGACACTATGGTTGGAGAACAAGTGCCATTTTTATGTAGCTAGAGTAGACTGGGAGAATTGGCTAAGGAAGATGACGAAAAGCTTTGCCATGTTCCTCCCAGATACAGGATTTCCCTATGCTCCAGTTCAGGCAAGTGTACTACCACCTATCCAGAGAATGGAGCCAAGAGAAGATAAATCACTGTCTGCAGATACATAGAAGAAAATCAGATTTGCTAGAAGTCAGAAATTACAAAGAGTACCAGCAGCTGGAATTACTGCTAAGAGGCAGGACAATGAGATATGGCCACTTTCTAATTGCTGAAAAAGTTTAAGGCTTCAACTTTAAGCACAAGCCAGAGAGGTCACATAGCTTCCCTGTTGTGATTCAGTGAATTATTTAAGAATTGCTCCATGATGGAGGGGGAGAATGGTAGAGGGAGTAAAGGGACAAGAACACAAGAGAGGTTTTAAGAAGTTTAACAATCTGCTTTGGGAGACAGACTGATACACTTGAATTACTGAGAGAATAATACAGCCCTCAGAAAATTCTTAGTCACAGACAATGAAAGTGTCTGACACTTTGATTGAGTTCAGACAAAAGAATAGAGAAGGAAGGCTAGAGTGGTCAGGAAAAGCTCCATCCACAAGAGGAAACTTGAACAGAACCTTGAAAAAAAGTACCATTTTAGCAAAGAAAAGAGAAGCATCATGTTTTCTCTGTGCATCTTCCACAGAATGTCAGTGAAATGCAAAAAAGCATACTTTTTTACAAAGGGAGTTCAGGATAAAAGGGAAAACTTAAAATTTAACAGATATGACTTCTCCTACCTGAAAATAACCTCTTGCTTTTCCTGAGCTGATTTCTTTATGTAGTTAACATTTGTTAATGACTTATGGCATGCCTGTCAATCTGCTGTGAGGCAGATTACAACCTATATGACGCCATTAGGACATACTGCAAGATCTCTACAAAGCTGTCTTTCTTTTAAGACAAGCAGCCTGTTCACCCAGCAGGGATAGAGAGGTAGAGCCCAAAGCCAGGCCCACTGCTTCCAATCCCTTGCTCCTCCCACTGGGCACATGCCACTGACGCTTTCATTCGTATCTTCTTTGTCATTTCTATGGCTACCCAAAAATAAGCATCACAGCCAATTAACGCAAGAATTTTTCCTGCCTTTGCATGTTAATTTACATTAAACACAGATCATTCTTTTTTTCAGGATTGCAAATGGCAGAAGATGCTATTGAATTCCGCAGGAGATGGGCTGTAACGTGTGAAAGGTTGTGAGTTGGGTAGAAATCAAATGGGATTCTAACCCAAACCCAAGGCAGATTTGAGAACTGTACCAAATGTCAGTTGAACTACATGAGACACAGATGCCCAGGATGACCAGGCCTTTGTGATTGCCTGGTCGCTGATGACCCTGTGAAGGATGCTGCCTGCCACTTGTCCTCGAACGCAGGGATCCTGGTTCTTACCCTGAAGCACATCATGTATCTTTTCCAGCATCAACCTAAAGTATCCTCCTGGGTTAGTAGTGTTTTACATGGAGCTATGGACCTCTGGTCACTAAGTCATCTGTCCTCAAATTCTGCTGCACATTAGAATCACTTAGGGAGATTTAGACAAATCTTAAAGCTCTGGCAAATCAGAATCTTTGGGAAAGTGGCCCAAGCATCTGCACATTAAAAACTGTGAGTCAGGCCATGAAAGACAATGACTGATTATAACATTCACCTTGTTTCTTAAAAAGTCCTTTCAAATGCAACTATAGTCACCCTACTGTGTCCCAAACTTATTCTTCCTATCTAATTGCAACTTTGTACCCACTACTAATCTCTCCTCATCCTCCTCTTCCTATACCTTTCCTAAAAAAGGGAATTTCAAATAGTCTTACCACAAAGAAATTAATGTTTGAGAGGAAAGATATGCTAATTTCCCTGATACAATCATTGCATAATGTATATATGTATTGAAGTGTCAACTAAACATGTACAGTTAATCTATGAAAGTTTAAAATTTTTTTAAAAGTAAAGAAAAATTCTTTTATTTTGCTCCTGAAATACATTTAGATTCATGGAAACATTGAAAATCTTAATACTGACACTTAACACTGAACACACCACTCATCACTCTTGGCACACCAAGGTAAGGCCAGTGAGGCAATGAGGAACCACAACTCAAAGAGGCACCCTCAGTCTTGTCACATTTTCTTTCCAAATATGACTTGCTCCTTATAGTTAGAAGCATAAACTATAAAGACAGATAAATATCTTTTGAATACTGTCTCTTCTACTTGCAATCTCTTCTAACTGTGACTGAGCTATCTAACACCTTATACCTGTTTTCTCCTTTATAAACCTGCTGTATCATGAATCAGTTCCCCTGTCTGGTTGGCACCTTCCTATTCTTCAAGGCTGAGCACATAGTTTTCTCCACTACTTTTTCTTTTTCTCCCATCCCCATTCTCTTCACCTAAGCCAAATCAGTTGTCCTGTCATCTGTATTTTTGTGGTATGTTGGCATACTTTGGAAATTCTTCCATTTGGATTATAGTTATTTATTCCAGTGTCTACCTGTCCTGACATGAAGCAATCTGCGAAAGTGGGGGGAAAAAGGCTTTGGAGTCAACTGGAATTAGGTTTGAGTCCCAGCTGATGACCTTAACATCATCTCTGAGCCACTGTTTCCTTATGCAAAATAGTGAAAATAATAGTAACCTCAGAGTTCTTACATTCTGTTATACAGCATCTGGGGAAGAAATCTCCACTCTGAGAGAACTCACAACCAGCTAAAAATTCTCAAGGTCAGGAACTTCATTCAGTATTACAACCTGGGTACCTCATCCAAAGTTCAACATGTGGCAGGTACTCGGTATGTGTCTATCATAATGAAATAAGTCAAAAATAAACAGTATTTACATATGTCAAGGTGAGAACGGCATTTTCAGAAACAACTTGAGAGAAGGCAAAAAGAGAAGAATGAGCACAGGATTTGCTGCGTAGAGTGAGGAGACCACAGTAAAAGGCACAGAAAATGTACTTTGGGAAGGAGGAGAAAATGAGGAACAGACACATAGCCACAAGTAAAGGACCTTCACATCAGGGAGAAAGAGTTTGGACTTCCTTATGATGTTATTTCAGGTTTGTATCTCTAAAGCGTCAAGGATGTTCCTTCACCTTTCCATTGAGCAGGTAGGTGGCAGGTTGCATTATGTTCATCAGAACTCCCACAGGACTCCAGCTAAATTTATATCTCAAAGGATTGTCTGAATGTTCGGGGGCTGGAAGCCCACCACAGTAGGAAACGTAAGATTCAATCTGTAAATGAAAGCATCAATAAATTAGGGAGAATTAATAATAAACTATTAAGAATGATGCATTTAAGTCATTAACTGGGGATGATATAAATAGGGTAAATTTGCTATGAGTTTTTTTCATTTCTTAAAAGTTATTAAGGTTTTGAAACATGCAGCCTTAAAGCCAGATACTTTTTGATTAAATTGCAGTTATATTTTATATCCCTGAAAAAAAAATCTCTAGAGATAATGACTAATATTTTCTTCAGTGAAAACGTCAATTTAATATTAGTTCAGTTCTGCTTTGTTAGCTCCTACCAATTCCTGTTCAAATTTGCATGTATATCTTTATACATATGTGTGTGTGGTCACATTTACATATTCAGTAGTACTCTGTCATGTATAAATACTTCGTACACCAAAAGTTTGATGACATTCCAAAGATTTTTTTGTCATTTTTAAAAATCAAACCTCATTACAGAATCTACAAGGCAGTCCAAATATCTTTAAGTCAAAATGTTATAGTAGCATCTATTTCTCTAAACATCAATTGGTATCTCACACTCAGACATTTTACTTCACAGATATGTCTGCAATTAAAGAATCCTGTTTGAAATTCCCTACCAAAGAATGAGTTATAATATAGTGACATCTCTAATCAAAATCTCAGAGAGATTATTTCTCTACTCAAAAAGCTAGATCTTTTCACACTTTCCTAAAAAGGGGCCTTTGGGTATGAACTGGGCTCACCGTGGCTCCCTCTTCTTTGGCCTTATCAATTGTTTCCATTGCCAACATATGATCAAGACCAGGGTCCAATCCCAATTCGCCAATAACTGTGATGCCAGCATCTTCCACACTGCAACAGGTGGAAAGAGATAAAAGAAAATGTCAGACATAAGTAGAAACTATACCATGGAGCCATTGACTTCATTGGAAATGAGTGAAGCTCACCTCTTTTCCAGTTCTTTTAGTGCCGGTGTGATGTAGCTTGCAGTTATCATGTTAACTTTGTTTGTGATACATGCCTTGGCCACAATAGGATGCAACACATAAGGCAGCAGGCTTAAAAACAGAGACAAAAACTAATCAAACTAATCAGAAGCTTTCTTTTCCAATGATCCCTGCCAAAGTACCTTGAGCTGTACTAAAGCTCAGTCATAAGGCTAATGAAATGATTCTCTCTGAGATGACCAAGGGCTCCCTGTGAAGTACAGGATATACTCTTCCCCCATCACATCTAAAATCTGCCACAATGACCCTCACTTATCCTTTCCATTTCTTTCCTCACTTTCTTCCATAAATCACTACGGAACCAAAAAAGTCATTGTAATTCTCCACTTGAAGCCTGTCGTTTCTCAGCTCTGGACCTTTACTTTTGCAGTGCCTTCCGTCCTTCCACTTGGAATGTTCATTTGCCCACCAACCCTCAGCCAAGTCCTACCCTCCTTTGAGAAATGCCCCAAAAGTTATTTTTCTCCAAGAAGGTTTGTAAGATTACTCCAAAGCCAGATATCCTTTAAATGTATCTGACTATTCCTTTATAGGTTTAATGGAACCTAGTCATTCATCCTCATATTTCTATGGTTATCTGTCTTGGGTTCCCTACTGAAAAAAATAGATACTGTTCTTTTTACCTCCTCATCTCCCAAATGGTTATCAGGAAGTGTCAAACTAGACCAAGGTAGCCCATGTGTTGTATTAAACAGTAAATTCTAAAAAGAGCCCAAAGAAGAGATAGGCCTTAATAGTATTGATTGGTTTAAAGTGTATGAAATGGCTAAAACTCAGGAAGGTGACCAAAAAGCAAAGTTGTACTCAAATCTTAACTTTGATTGAGTTTTCTAAAAATCTGACTTTTGGCATTTTAATGTGGATATACTCAATCAAAAAAGATAATTTTCATAAATATTGATATGATGAGGATGTTCACAATTATCTAAGGAATGATAAATCACCTTCCTTGTCAATTGCATAAGAATTTATAAGTTTACTGGCTTATTGCCTATTTGTAAAGCAATCTACATTATACCAATGAAAAAATGAAGACTAACATATAAACAGTATCATGCTATGTCATTGCACTTGCAAAGTTCATCATGAATACTTTGGATTTTCTCTATTTCACACAAAATAAAATAACACAGCAAAACCACTTTTAGGGCATTTATTCCTCCTCTGTGAAATAGAATGTAGAATTACTACTTAGATTTACTCTCATGCAGAATAAAGTTGTGTGTATGTGTGCTTTGCCAATATCGGAAACACTCTTGGTCTCTGTTTGGGGGCTTTTTAACCAACAAGAATTATGAAATTGGGTAGCATCTTAAAAGCTAAATCAAAGTATTAACAGATTCAGACATGGTGGCACATGCCTATAGTCTCAACTACTTGGCATGCAGGAGGATGGCAAGTTTGAGGCCAGCCTGAACCAAGTTAGAAAGACCCAATTTCAAAAACACCAAGCCCAGCCTCACTTATACTGTGTGTACTTTGTGGAGAGACATTTCAATGTAAAAGTTCATGAGAAAAATAGGAAAGGAGAAGAGGGGCGGCAGGGGAGAGGAAAGGACAGTGGGGAAGTGCAAGGGAAAAAAGGGGAGAGGATATAAGGGGAGGGAGAGGAAAAAGACAAAAAGAAAAATAACAGAAAGCATATGGAACTCGTTCTTGCCACATACCTGATGACAAGATCCTGTGTTGCCACCAGGGAGTTCAATTTTTCTTCTTGTTTACCAATGTTCATGCTAACAGGATTAATATTATATTTCTTGCTTAGCTGTTTAATTTGATTTGTCATGTCAGAGCCTGGTTCAAGGACAGAGAGTAATACATGTTTTACATCTCCAAAAATAATTTTTTATGGTTTAGAAACAAAACAGCCATCTAAAATTCATAGAGTCAACATGGTATAAAATCAGTTTTTCATCTTAAAAAATAAGATTTATTTACCTACTGTTATTTCTATTTTGCTGTCTCTTAACAGATATTCTAATACAGGCCCAGATACATAGCCAGATCCAAGAACCAAGACCTTTTTCTTGGTACTCATTGCAAATGACTGAACACTTTCTCTGTTAAAAAAAGGGGGGGGGATAATTAATTTTTTTTTAAATAACAGCATCTTGCTGTCCCCCAAATCAAACCAAAACCTATAACATGAAGCAATAAGTTCTCACTGTCTTACTTATAATAAGAACCTCAACAGGAGCTCCCCATACCAACATTTTTCATTATTTATTTTAGATTTTGTACAATAAAGAGCAACAGACACCAACATCCACAAACGGATGCCTGATGTCTATAAGACCTTTAGGAATGCCAATACCACTAAGAAGATGGGATTATTTCTTTGCTTACTCACAATTGAGTAACTTGGTCTTACTCTTTATCCTCCTAGGGATGTTATTCAAAATTGTTAGGAGGTGTATATTGGAAACCTCATTTTCTTCTCACAACAATTCAAGGAGACAACAATCCGAACATTACATTATTATTATTTCATATTAGAAACTGTTTTGCCATACAGCTTTAGTATCATGCGAGAATAGCCAAACCATAACTTGAGTTAAATGTAGAAATCTAAGACTAGTACTTGAAGAATTTTAATTCTTGAACAATTCTTGAACAATTCTGTTCAAATTTGTACCTTCTGGAAAGATGACTTTGTTTCCTACAGACTACAACTTCCAAGGCAGTAGCAAAGTCTTACCCAACTCTATCAACCCATTAATGCTCAGTACATTTTGTTTTGAACTTTGAAGCTATTCACTAACTATCTTTTAAATCAAATTTCCAGATGTCAGTATGAATCCATGGAAATAGCTTAGTGACAGGGACTTAAGCAGTTAGAAATATAGACCAGGATGTCCCTCAAAAATTCATAAATCTTTTCAATAATAATATGTGACTAGAAATCAAAGTAAAATGTTTCTACCCCCCTACAACCCCCCAGCACATACATGTTATGTATGATAGGAGAAGAGATCTCCTTTAACCATTATCCTAATTCCACCTCCCAAAGAACCACTGAGGCTCTTTATGGTTTATTGTTATGATATTGTATATTCTTTCTAACAATACTTTCCATGGCTTGTGTAATTAACAGTATTCTGATTACAAATAGAAAATGTTCAGAATATATATATATTTTTAAAAACTCACTCTTAGATTCTAAATCTGTCCATATATTCAGCACCCAAAGACCTCAGATTGCAGATTAATAATCACTGTGTTAAGTGATGAAAAAATATAAGAATAGGGTAGGGTTCAAAATAAGGAAAACTTCCTTTCAAGATGTAATCTCCATTATCAGTCTTTTGTCAGATATTAGGGAAGGAAGGCAAGAAGTCTTAGCAGTTGGAGCCAAGTAAACTTGCTCCTGCATGAAATGTAGTGTGTAAGAGTGAAGATATTACTGTGACTGGTATGTTGCACTTGTCATTAGTATTAGTAATATAAAAGATTATCAGACAATGAGACTCAAAGATAGAGTTACGAAAATCAAGCAAACATGAAGTTTTCCCTGTAAAAACTCGTCTGTGGGGTTACAGTGCTAGCTTCTTTTTTAAAAGAATTAAATACTCTTGGACTTCTATGTTATAATATTTCATAGCCATATTAAATCAAGTAGCTAAGGTGTGGGAAATGCATATCAATGGTCAGATCTTTCTTTACTTCTTATAGGAAGAACCACTGAAAAAGAAGATGAGACAGTTTTTTGTTGTTGTTTATTTAATTTTCCCACTCCAGTTTCCCTGAGAATTTACTTCATGAGTTATTTTGTTAAATGTGAATAGACTACTGGAGTAGATATAAACACAAACCAAGTGCAATCAGCTGGAAGAAACCAGAGTAATCCAAAGAAATGTCAGTGTTTTCAGATTCTGAGCAGTAGAATCAATTAAGGAAACAAGAAACTTAGCTAAGCACCTTTCTAAGAGAACTATTTCTGAGGGGCAGATTTGGCAAACTATTTTACAGCATCCTACTCCCAATAAAAATCTTCATGGAAAACTACTTCTCAGCATTTGCTTTCCTCACCATTTCCCTTCATTTCTACCCAAGATCTCACTTTCCTAAACATCATACTAATCAAAAGGTAGTCCAGACCTTCAACTAAAACCCAAACTAATACCACCATAAAAAAAGTTGATATGCTCATTTTCCTTTGAGAAAATAACTGAGAGAACACAATATGAAAAATGCTAAAGAAAGAACAATGGGATACCCAAATACAACATGTTTTTGCTTTTGTTTGCATATCCAAAAGTCTAGATAGAATTTCATGCAGTCAAAATGATGCTATACTACTCTACAGAGAAAAAGAACTCACATTGGTTTCAGGTTGCCACTTAGCTTAAATTTCCTGTATTTATAGAGATGATATAAAAAATGTGCATGTTATACAAAGCCAATATTAAGAACTACCACTGAAGCTTTAAAAACACTCATCAAACCCAAGATAAGAATAAATGTATGCAAGAAGGTCTGAATAGCACTTACCTGTTCTCTCGGAGTTTCTGGATATATTTATACTTATCAGTCAATGAACCGTTGGATGTAATCACTGCCTAAATGTATATACAAGACATATCTTTAGTACCCGACATTTTAGCCATATAAAAATGGGCTCATTACTGACAGAGACGAGATAGAATGACAGAAACATAACAAGATAGAGAGATTGGGAGAGGGGAGCACTAGGATGATAGGAAAAAAATACATTCTTATAACTTACATCTCGCACCACAGGAGAAAAGTTCTGACTTTCAAGAGGCTGCGATGCATCTGACAACAACTGAAAGAGAAAAGAGATTGGTAAGAGGTAAAGGTGACATTGCTTCCTGGTGTTCATATACATATTAAAATATTATTAAGCATCTAGGAAAGTCAGTTTTCTGAAAATGACTGACTATAAATAACTGGTAATAGAACTCTATAACTCTATAACCAATCATTTCTTCCTCCAAGAACATACTGTTTCAGTGCAGGTCCCTAAAACTAAAATTCGATTGCAACCATTTTTGCTTACTAAGAACACACAGAAAAGCTTATCTTTTCCAACCACATAGATGCATCATATTGAACATATTGTAAACCCCACAGCTTTACAGACATAGTCCTCCCTCTGAGACAATTCCATTTTCAAGGTTCAAGGTTTTCCATAGAAGTAGATAATACGATTCTCCACAACCAGTCCACCAACTCAGTAGGAGGAGTCTCCCTCAGTCAATATTGCATTTCTGAAGTGGTAGGGAAAATAACTCAACCAGGTAGACCTCAAAAAGTATCCATACTCTTTCCATTATCACACAAGACTGAGTTAGATAGACAAAAACAAAAGTCACATTCCTCATACTAACTTCTTAGTATCCTTCTAGCCTGCCTTTTTTCTTCCCACAATACCAATCTTGAATGTACTGCCGAACAGTACATTATTGGTCAATGTTGATACCTCTGATGGGCAGGGAAGGACAAATGAGACTACCTTTTCTCCTTAATCTTAGTTTAAGGTCTATAGCACTCACCCAACTAAGAAAGTAAAACAGAATTTGTCCACTGAATTAAAACAAATTTTAAGATTATGTTTATCTATCTAAAGTACAAAACATGTAGATTCTTTATTCCTGGCATAGGGATATATTTTTTAAAGAATGCATATGTATAAGCCAGAGCTTACTAATGAGCAGCTCATGGAATTAACAAACCAGGGTCCTGCTGCTGCTCTTTCTCTCAGTTGCCTCTACAGTATTCCCTTCTCAAGATGATGCTTCCACTTCCCACCTGCCTACAGGCCAGGTACTGTTAAATAAGAAATGAGGCTCTCAAGTCAGTCAGCATATGGTTAAATCACTGAGATTCTGTGTGCTTTTCCCAATGACTTCTGGGGTTTTTATTAATTATTATTATTTCTCCTCCTCCTCCTCCTCCTCCTCTTCCTCTTCCTCCTACTCCTCTTCCTTCTCCTCCTCCTCCTCCTTCTCTTTGTAATGCTGTGAATAGAACCCAGGGCCTAACACATGTTAAAAGTGCCCTACCACTGAGCTACATCCCCAGGCCCCTTTTATTTGCTCTCTATCTCGAATTCCAAGGCCTTATTTTGGAGTTTTGTTGGGACCATGGGAATTGCCTCCAATATCATTTCCTTCCACCAGTCTAAAATATCAATTTTATTTGTTCTTCTTATCTATTTAAAATAATCTAGAGGCTGTCTGTTGTCTTCAATATAAAGTCTCTAGCTCCCTACATGACCTCCAAGGTCCTCTACAGTCTGGCTCTGCTTCAGCTCTGCTGCAGCCTCACTTAACATTAAAGCACACCTTGAAAGTCATAACTGCACCTCATAGTTACCATGTGCCTGCTACATGATAGAATGGTACATATTCAGCAAAAGTGACTGGATACATAAGATAATTACTTAAATGAAATAGATTTTCCCCAAGAAAATTAAATAGTTGTCATAAGTCTACCTAATGAAAAACAAACACAGAAGACAAAAAAAGCCTGCTTAATTACTGCATTTAACTGTCTCTCTTTCTAGAATTCAGTATTAACAAAACCAGTCTAAGGGTTATGAAGCATATGTTATGTCTTGTCACTTTCACATGTAACACTTTTGATAGTTCCCTACTGTTTCCCAAATTAATACCAAGCTATTCATCTTGGTGTTAAGACATTTTAAAATATGAAGCTAACCTTTTTACTCAATCAGACTTGACAACTCAATTCACAGAACCCCTACCTTATGCTGATTCCCACCTTCATTCTGTCTCCGTCACATAACATGTCTCCCATTCAAGTCAGTTCAAATGTCATGTCTCATAAACCTTTTCCTGAGTTGATCCAATAAGACACAACCTCTATCTCCACAACTTCATTAGTATCTTTCTGATGGCTGTCAGAGTTGTAGAATTATCTCTTTCTCTTCTTGGACCTCATGCTAATATATGTCAGAAGTTGTGTTTTAATTCTCTTTACCCATAGATATGCTTTTTGCCAGCAATACCGAATAAACACCCATTAAATTCAACTTAAATAAAACTTTCAGACTGGGGAGTTTTTGCTTCCGTTTCCTATGTAGGGAACAGGAAATATTTCTCTCTCTTCCCTCCCCCCTACCTTGTCTACACTTTATCCTGTTATACTAAAGGAAAACCTTGCTAAAACTTCCCCACCCTCAAAAAATCTCTTCCAGATTAGTTGCAAAGTTGCCCTGCAATACTATAGGCTCTGTATGGACCTTAGAGCAAAAAGAAAATCAAGAGATTTCAAGATGGAGACTAGAGGGAGAAAGCAGAAAGCGTGCTTCCTAAAGTAAAATCTTGGAGAGATGCTGGAGATACACCTTGCAGGAAAAACCACCAAGAAGAGGCAAAACTCTGACTCCTCCACACCCCCAGCCCATGTGTAACATCCCCACTCCACGTTAAATGGAGAAACTAGAAGGGCTCTCATGCCATCAGATGTCAGCTCCCAGACTGCTTGGGAAGAGGCAGACCACCAGGTGAGCTAAGCGGCATGCAGTACTTCCACAGACAACCCTGGAACAAATCAGCATAGCCCCCAGACACTCTGACCCCCACCCAGGGGGGAAAAAACAGAGAAAAAACCAAACTGAATAATAAATCAGCAGCTGGAAAAAAAAAAGACACATAGCAAAGAGGGCAGGGTGCCCTGAGCTCCAGAGAGTGGGGAAGGGGCCCTCCCTCAGGCCAACTGTAAATAAACAAGCAGGCAGGAGAAGGCAGGAATGGTGCCACCTCTCCCAGTGTGCTTGGAGAGGGGAAGGCTTGTAACTGCAGCTGTCATGTGGAAAGTGCCACCAGAGGGGGAGGGGCCACTCCTCACACAAAAAAGTCTACAATTGCAAAAGGTGGGTAGGGCTGTACACTGGAGAAAACAAAAGGGGCATGCATCCAGGAGAACTCTAAATAAACAAAGCCTGCAGCAGCAGATGGCTGACAGTAGGAGGCAGGTGAGCCACAGCCTCAGATAGACATTACAAAGCTGCCTCCAGACTCCCCTTTTTTTTTCCTCTTCCTTTGATGAGACAACAACACTGGATGCTGAAGGACTAACTGAAAACATATTGCATTTGAACTTGGGATTTTGTTTGTTTGTTTGTTTGTTTTTGCTTTTTAGGTTTTTTTTGTTTTTTTCCCCTTTGATGAGAAAATGACAGAACTACTTCACAGTCACTGGGAAGTCTTCAGGATGGGAGGCTGAAGTATTAACATCAAAATTAAGACTGAAAATTTATTGCATTTGAACTTGTGGGTTTTTTTGTCTTTTTTATTTTTTTTTTATTATTTTCATTATCCTCTCTCTGTCTCTCTAATGCCTGCTTAGCTTACTGTTGATTAGTACACTATCACTCTCCCTGTTTATTTCTTTGGCTCTGGTTTTTTTGTTCCTGTTTGTTTGGGGTTTTTGTTTGTTTGGGGTTTTTGTTTGTTTGTTTTGTTTTGTTTTTCCCTTTTTCTTTACTTTCTTTTCTTTCCCTCTCCTACACCCTTCCATTTTAGATATCACCATTGTTATTATTACAAGCTAGACAATACTGAATTACACATAGTACAGGGTAACAACAGCAAAGGCAATGATGGGAAGACGGAAAAAAGAAGGAAATCATTTTCCCCCCAATAATAAATTAGTACAGGAACCAGAGACAAATGAAGAAACAGGTACC